GCAGGAACCTCTTTGACTGTTTGTGCCTAGCTGTGCTGTCTTGCCAGCAGAGGTCAGGGTGGTTGAAGTCTCCTATGAGAACCAGGGCCTGTGATCATGAGGCTACTTCCAGCTGTCTGCAGAAGGCCTCATCGACGACTTCCTCCTGGTCAGGTGGCCTGTAGTAGACCCCCACAACAGTGTCACCCATGTTACCCTGCCCTTTAATCCTTACCCATAGGCTCTCCACTTGCTCTTCATCCACCCTGAGGCAGAGCTCCATACATTCTAGTTGCTCCAACAGGAGTCTCCCTACTACTGATGGGAAGCAAAATAGTAGAATCTTAAGTTGTTCCCACTCATGTTGTTCTGCATAGCAGTTTAGGAAATTAGCATATGGCAACATTGACATAGCAATAGAAAAAGTTATCTACAGTTTCCAAAGGACTATTCTAAGCTACTTAGACATTAAGAACAGCCATTCTAACATAGAAAATGAAAAACAGCACTAAAGTGATATCTCAGAAAGCAACTTGATAGAAAAATGTATTCCAGTGTTTCTACATGTACTACATGAAGGACTAAACAACTCAGTTACACTCATTTATTTTTTTTAGTAGATGGGAAAAAAAGAACTACTTTTAAGCGACTTAACTAAGGTTATGGTAGCACAAACTTATCTCACCTTGCACATTCTTAAAAATTCCCTCCCCCCTCCACAATCCCTGTAGCAATATTTGAATAACGCACACCCTGGTGCTTCACTACAGAAGTAGTGACCTATATATGTGACCTATGCCTTCTATATATGCCATTAAAAAACTGGAAATACACAGTTTTAATACAAAAAAGGATACTCAGTTGGAGGGGGAAAAAAACCACATAGTCATGGTCTTTACAACATCATTCTTGTTGCTGCTCCTGAAGGCATCAGTCTCTACAGAACAGGCTGTAATAGGACAATCCTAAGCACTACAGATGAATCTGTTGGCCCCATTCTTGCTATTCAGGTGTCCACTGTGCATAAATGGAGTTTTTAATCAACTAGTCTGTTTGATGAACAAGCTAAAAAGGCTGATAGAACTGAATCGTGTAGATAGTGAACTGTCTACATGATAGCAGTAGATAGTCTGCTTCAGGCAGCCTCTTACAAGATCAGTCAAAAATTGGTTACGTTTTGTCCACTGGCATTAGATTAGGTAGAACGTGGGAACACTTACAACTCCTGCCTTTGCAGAAGGGCACTGACTGGAGTGCAGCTTTCAGGAACTCAGTGATTCAGCAGCTTCCAGATGAAGTAGCTTTTGCTGCAAAGGAAACACCTTCCCAAGGGTCTTGCTTGAAGCATTTTGCTGGTACAGCTATGCCAAATAAGAAATTCTAAAATGAACATACTTTATATTCTCTGCTTCTTCCCCTACCATTCTCCCAGAATGAATGAGACTCAAACAGCGTCATCAGTGTAGGCAGCTCTCATGATACAGCTACATCAAATCGCCAGTTAACCTACCCAATACAAGCTATGGCAACAAGCATTAGCCACAAAAGCTTCCTCTAAGAGCTGGGCCTGCAAGCAATATACATGCAAAATGAGGCACGTTTACCTCTTTCTTGCAAATCATCAGTGGTATAAAGTATTCTACTAGTCAAAGTACACCCTTTGCTTACGAAAAGACTAAGCTTACGCAGGCATAGAAGCCTTCTGCATCTCAAGAATAATCCACTGCAACTTTGCAAAGAATTTTTTTCAGACACTAAGTGGAAAAGCTAATGCTCAGCTGGGATGTTGCTGGAGCACACAGTGAGATTGACACTGCAATGGGCTCACAATACACAGAAGAGGTAGATCTGTCAAGGAGGAGACAGCCTTCTTATAAAGTAGAGGTTTGAGTGCAGTAATGCAGCTTGGAGCTTGAGAGTCACTGTGGGAAAAGATTTATAAAAGCTT